ATCTTTTGATTGTTATCAAGTGAGAGGATAAATCCTGTCCCTCGGTCACTCCATCTTAACCGGAGGCTAAATCCTTAGGGGCCTTGACTTCTCTTGTGTCCATTTGTTTGTAAAGACACCAAGCGGTGGAGCTCGGGAACTCTGAGCGTCCATGTGAGCAGCTGTTGCTGGGAGACTGAAGGTCATCCAGTTGATGATATAAACGTATAGATTTCCTATATCTAGTGGCACTTGGTTTCTGAACTCAAGACCTTTCTTTTTTCTTTTATTTTTTACTTTTTGTAGAATTTTCTACTGTTCCACTCTTAATGAGCCTCTTAGTATCTCGGTGTAGTCAGTGATATAGTTTTGTTGTTGTCGTCGGTCGGGAGGCTTGAACTCTGGGCCTGGGTGCTGTCCCTCACCTCTTCAGCTCAAGAACAGCCCTCTACCACTTGAGCTACAGCGCCACTTCCGGTTTTTTAGTGGTTCATTGGAGATAAAGAGTCTCACAGACTTTCCTGCCTGGGCTGGTTTTGAACTGTGATCCTCAGATCTGTCTCCTGGGTAGCTAGGAATATAGGCGTGAGCCACTGGCCCAGCAATTAGTGGTGTAGTTCTTTATCTCAGGAACACAGGGACGTTCCCTCAGCCTAGGTCTTGTTTTTGAGGTGCCCACTGTGGACAGGAAGAGGAAGCAGTGTGGGTACAGTACCATAAGTTACTTTGAGAGGAGGGAGGTGTGTGTGTGTGTGTGTGTGTGTGTGTGTGTATGTGTACTTTTAATTGTAGTGCATTGTTGTCACCATCCTATTATACTTTTAGTTATCATCATCGTTATTATTAGAGCAAAGAGAATCCTCTATATTGTTGTGACTGATTTAAAGGAAAAAAAAACTTGCTTCTCACTGGGCACTGGTGGCTCACACCTGTCATCCTAGCTACTCAGGAGGCTGAGATCTGAGGATCGTGGTTCAAAGCCAGCCCCAGGCAGGAAAGTCCATGAGACTCTTCTCTCCAATGAACCACCAGAAAACCAGAAATGGAACTGTGGCTCAAAACGGTAGAGTTCTTGCCTTGAGCCAAAGAGCTAAGTGACGGTGACCAGGCCCTGAGTTCAAGCCTCAGGACCGGCAAAAACAAAAAACAAAAACCCACCAAAACTAAAAATAGGCTTCTCATATTTTCGAATACAATGGCTACTTCTTTTTTTAAAACTTTTAAGTAGTTGGATACGGGGGTTTGAATTCCACAAGACAGATTATGAGTTCGATAGGTCTTGATCGATGTCACCCCTCCCAGCGTTCCTCCTCAGCTTTGGGCCAGTATTCTCTTCTTAGCTTATCTAACCTTTAGGTCTGCAAACAAGAGAGGCCTGCCTGTCACTGCCCAGCTGGTTAGAGCAGGCAGTGACGGGGGGGGGGGGCAATAGAGGAATGAATGGGTCGTTCACAAAGGGAGATCTTGGAAAGTTGGAGAACCAACAGTCTGCATGGTCTAGGATGGGTCAGGGGTGTGTGTGTGTGTGTAGGGCAGGGGGGATGTACTTTCTAAGCTGGGTATCGGCAGGTACTAAAGCCAAAATCTTCCTCAGGGTGGCCTCAGTGTAGAACCTAAAGGAGGAGTTACATCTCTCTGGGCCCACTATCCTTAGTTGCCTCCTATAAGCTGCCCAGGGGCTGGCATGCGTGTGGTTTAAATAGTAGAGCACCTGCCTAATGTATGCCGGGCCCTGAGTGCAATCCTTAAGTTGGACAGGGAAAATAAAACAAGCTATAGGGGAGGCCCCTATATTGGGTAGGGGGTGGGGTGTGTGTTGAATCTCCCTAAACAGTATGTGTATGTGTGTGTGTGTGTGTGTGAGAGAGAGAGAGAGAGAGAGGGAGAGGGAGAGGGAGAGGGAGAGAGAGAGATGGGGGGAATTGGAAAGGATTAGGAAGCTGTTCGGGGTTCTTATTGTTTAGGTAGCTAGTCTATTGTGATCCTGTTTTAAGCAATTATGTGGCCAAATCTTATTTTCCTGAGTCACAGATAATTCTTCTTTGCTGGGAGGGAATGGGACGTGGTTAACTGCACATAAGTCTCATAGACTTTCCTGCCCGGGCTGGCTTTGAACCGCGATCCTCAGATCTCAGCCTCCCGAGTAAGCTAGGATGACAGGCACCCGGCTTCTATGTCTTTGACTCTTGGCTCCCACACTCCTTAGTATCAGGGAAGGAGATAAC